CCACGCATGAGTGGGGGAGTCCAAGTCCGAGGACTGAAGCCCCCCCCCCCCCTCAACTGAATTCTAGGGAGCAGCAACCTAGCCGACATTGTACTGAAGTGACGCTCGAAATGCCATAGGGTTTGAATGGCACACATCATTGCACTGGCGCATCGGAGCATTGGTATATTGGGCGGGAGGGGGTAGGGTCACGTGGCGCAAAGTACGTCGGTGTTGAAAGCCCGATTTCATAATGGTGCATAATCAGACCAGATTTGCCGTGAAGTCCCTGATTTGCCTTTGACGCAATGCAATACATTAACTCGGCATATTTTTGTACCGTTAAATTGACGTAAGAATGTACCTATTGACTAATGGTGCCACCGACATGCCAGTTGTAATGCTTGGCATAGCCTACTTTCATCTCTCAGTTTTAGCCCATCTTTACCTATCATAGCTCCCATCAATAATTAAGCAAATGCTAATCTCCCTGCACTATTCTTGAATTGCTTGTTTAGTAGTTTTAACATCGTTTTGCAGGGAGTGCCGTTGTTTTGCAACATTCAACGTTACAGTAAAGCTGTACGCGCCCCAGCGGATCGGCGCGGTCACCTCCGTTCACCTGTTCATGGGGGCACACCCATGGGTGTTCATGGGTGTGCCCCCGAGCAGAGCAATGCGCGATGTTTGCCTAGAGCTGCTCAAGTTTCTTTCAGGATCGTTCAGTTAGTGAAAATTTCAAAAATGGTTCGGTCATGTACGCTCACAACTTCAGAAGACCACCTGCTCTGCGCTCTGCATGAGAGTCTCCATGGGCCGTGCTGCATCGGCCCCGATGCTCGGATGAGGCGGCAACCAACGGGACGGGTGGGGGGGGGGGGGGGGAGAGAGGCACCCTTGTTCCTCTGCCCGTGCCGCGGCTTCATTGCAAAGTATGAATGCATGGATTTATGTGGTTGTAGTAAGGCTCAATGGCAACAGGTGAATGATTTTGGACGAAAACAAACACAAATGCATTTGCTTTCATCCCATGCATATGAATTAGACGTTGATGAATTTACTTGGCTAGTTTATAAGTATAAAATGTATTATTTAGCCATGTGAATCCTATATCCCATTTACCGCATTTTTGGCTCGGTCAGCACCCCTTGTCTTTCGGAAGTCGGCGGTCGTCAAATTTTGTTTTCAGTGATGGGTTCGATGGAAATATGCTGTTTGCAGCGTTTTGTGCCGTTCAGGTAGTGTACCCACATATTTCGGCGCATTGCAGAACAGTCACGATCATTCGTTTCTGTTGAAAATCCCCGCTGTAGTACACATGCATACAGCGAGCCTATCCCAATGTCTTACCAATGCATGCAGTGAGCCCATCCCAATGTCTGACCAATGCGTACAGAAAGCCCATTCCAATGCTCGCTGAGCAGACGACTGCAGGGCTGTCCTAGTGGGACGGCCCGCTTCAGACATCTGGGCTCCAGTTAGCTGCATGAGTAGGTCTAAGGACACCCCTGACTCTGGTTTCGAGTTTCACCTCATTTGACCTCAATTGCCCCGTAGGTCACGATCTAGAGATGTAAATGTTTCACACAAACGCGAGTCCACATGCTTGTTGGGAAAATAAAACTAAAAGCTGCTTTGCGCGACATTGTTTTCAGGAGAAATAAAGCTAAACAACGCCTACAACTGCATTGGGGAAAGTGAACATAACGCCTTTTATCGCATTGGTCCCATTGTCAGCATGGCGATCCTGGAATCGACCATCGTAGTCGCCTAAGTAGCTTAATTAAAATACGCCTCATGAACAGGCCTATAGAACCCTATGTATCCAGACTTCTAGTGTATCTAGCTTTCTTGGGGGATGGGGGAGGGGAAATTGTCCCTTCGTTAGCACCGCACATTCAACTGGACATCCGGGAGCGTGTTGAATATGCTTTCGTTTGTATATGAAGGGCCAGTTCGTGTTAGTGGGTCTCTGATCGCTAGGACGTTAAAATAACAAAGACCTTGAAAAACAAACGTCAAGACTGTCTCTAGGTAGCAAATTCTTCCATCTAAGAATATTACCAAGTTCATTATAGGCCAATGACCTCTACTGCTCTTTATGAAGCTAACATGAGAAACCCGCTGACGTGTTGTGTTAAGGAATCCGAAGTAAACATCGGGAGGTACCCCATAGAGCAAATTACTCAGTCGTAAAAGCTTTTGAGCTTTAACCTAGATCTAACGCTCTTAAACAACCTAAGATCAGTTTCACTATTTGTTTTCTTAGTTTAACCCTCGCCCTGATGGTGGGGGTCGATGCGACGCCCCCCCCCCCCCCCACACACACACTCCCGAGATTCTCTGAGGATACCTCTCCGGCATGTCATGCAAACGCGCCCAAATTTCCAGCAGCTGATGGGATGTCCATTGTGCGTGTTTTGACACCAGAAGCGTGTCCCGAGTTCTCTAGTTCCAAAGCAGCGGCAGTTTTTGAGGCACAATGCACGGCGATCGTGGGCGGCGGATGGTGCACGCGGATGGTGGGCGGCAGCCGATAGTGCCGCGAGGATGGTGGGCGGCAGCCGATAATGCCACACGGATGGTGGGCGGCAGCCGATAGTGCCGCGAGGCGCGCGCCGCCGGCGACATCGTTACATTAACGGAGCAATGCATCATAAAGGTATGCTCGGAACGCATCCAACTATTCGCCATTGCACCACTCAAAATCAAACCAGGACACGCCGTTCAGTTTTGGGTCGCTACGAGGCATGACCTGGCATATATGAGCATGTAAAGCTAAACATATTGCATTTCGGGAAGATTTGACCTTTGGCCTGGTACGATGGGGTCAAGCACTAACATAGTAACATAAAACTCATAACCAGTCGCGAGACTTCGTTGAGATCAATTCACTGGTGTTTTACGCCAAGCCCTAATTTGGAAAAGGCAGGAAGTCGCCTCGACTCCCCCCCCCCCGCACTTCTAATAGTCCGCTTATAAGAAGCCGTGGATTAGGGCGAGCATTAAGCCATACATTGTCTGGGAAAGCAATTAATATTTGCACGACAATGTGTAAACCTCTTAAGTCGCATTAGCTTCAAAGCTGCCCTTAGAAATGCCCCGCCGACAAGTGAGGCATATTTTTTTACCCTCTGCAGTTCAGTGACCTTTAGTCAGCTTCATTTTTCCTTTGCGTCACCAGAATGACAATATAATCATTCGCATATTCTTTACTTTTGGCATTGATACGCGAACCGCTTGAAAACCACCATAAAAAACCTTAGAACTGGGAAAATTAACCCTCACCCGGGCGCGCTTCAAAGCAGGTCATGCCCGTAAACAAACTGCCACGGCTGCAGGTCGGCGAAAAATCAGAGAATCGATGTCAGCATCGCATCGCATGACATCGCATCGCATCGCATGACTTTCCATGGGTCCGGCACCACTCTGAGGTAGTTACTGGTTTGTCAGGTCCAGCGTGAAAGTTGAATTGGCCAGTTAAGCACGGGTATATAAGCCGTATTTTGTTTTGTTGGTTCAGACGCCAGTGCAGCTTGGAGCCTCAAGCATGCGACACCTTCAAGTCGTCTGCGTCGTACTGGTAGGTGCAACTGAACCATCTCACTTTGTTCTGCTAAATACTTTGATATTACTGTACAAAAAGTTGTGGAAAATCTGTGTTCAGGCTCGAAGCGTAAATCGAAATATTCTGCTTGACCATAGCAGAATTGGCTCGCCCCCGTACTGCAACAGTTACAGGAAGTGTAAATACTGAAGCCCTCTGGAAAGACGTTATCCATGCGGCTATTCGTGCATTTCAACACACGCCTGACACCATACCCGTGAGAAACCCATCAACGCATATTCAGCGCAATTTGAGCCCTTTCAAACGTCGTGCAAACGCTTTTAAATGCTCCGTTATTTCCAACTTAGCGCAGCCTGTAAATGTGCAATGCTCTTTAATACCATACGCTCTTCATGCAATATTTTTCGGGGTTCTGTCAATGGTATTTTGTATTATAGCACCTAACAATATTTCCAATGACGCTCAGCGACATAATTCAAGGCACAAAAGACGCAACATATTTGGTTATATAAGCCAACCGCGGTTTGGTGACTTAAAATGTGCTTTGCAAATATGGGACGAGAAGATCAAACTGCTGGTCCGGTACATATGGCATGGCTTTTTAAGTAGCCATAGGTACGCGGGCATCTCAATAGCATTCGGTTCACAATTGCAAGCACTTGCCCTTCCAAGGAAGGAGGCACCAGGAACAAGGGTCTCCCACCCTAAAAGGTGATGTAATTTTCAAGTTGCGGATGAATAAGTGTCGGTAATGTAAAATTTGACGCATACAAGCAAAACAAGGAGGAAGCACAAATATCGTTTTGTTGTTTGCCTCAAAAAACATTGCTCGCGTCGACGACACGCTAATGCGCATTTTTGGAGTGTGAAACTTGTTTTGTTTCTACATAAAACAGGTAGTTTCACGTGACAGACATCGTATGTCCAATGTTTGTATCTTTACACAATAAGCTAACCCAATTTAGCTCAAATAGAACCTTTTACAGGTTCTTTAGCTCACGCTGACAAGCTCAATAATATCTGATTCTATTAGACACCTGTCCTGTCCTGACAAGCATAAGACCAGAATATTCTTTGGGGCTGGGGCCAGACATTAAATGTTTTTCAACCAGTCAATCGTCAAGTGCATAATGTCCCTGGGTATCGTCTTGGTTGAGAGCGAGGGAAACATGGTTCATGAGACGTTCCTGGCTACGTCTATTGCATTTTAAATTTGGTACAAATCAAGATCCCAGTGTAATACTTTCATGTCTAGTAATAATACGTCAAGTAAATGCAATCAAAAGGTGCACCCTGAATATTTAAAGAATACAAGATGTGTGGTTCTGCCGCCTGAATAATAAACGTCAACTTCTATGAAGGTATGCAGGTCAGTTTCAGTCTAAAAGATGGCATGTCTTTATGAAACACTACGAAATACATACTCAGCATGTGGAAACTGGCGTATCCTCACCGGACAATAGAGACATGGTCATAAGAATTGCAAAAATCCCAGCGTCGTCCACGGCCAAGTCAGACACATGCCGCTGCAGCGTTCAGGTCGCACCGAGCTCTGCTCGGCTTCCGAATCCGCGCCAGACTGGCAAGCTCACAGAGCAAACCATTAAGCCGCATGTTCGCGTGGTACCGCGGACGACGGCGGCGGGCCCGACGTGCCTCAGGCGCGGCGTCTGGGTCGTGTCCAGGTCAGAGGTCAGGCGGTGCTAACGTGCAGCAGCGGCGCCTCCCACGTCTCGCTTACCGTCCAACCACACGGAAACAACCACGTGCGGTCTGAAGTACACCCCGGAAATTGTTGAAATGTATGTGTGACGGAGCGTGCGGCGTCCTCCACAGGCGGTGTGGGCCGCGGCCGATGCCGCAGCTGCGGCGGCCAGCGAGTCAGCTGCTGATCCCGGCGCCGCGCCAGCCGCCGGCCAGGCGGCCCCTGCCAAGAGTAAGGCACGTCAGTGTCTGACCTGCCGCTTCAAAGACCTGCTCGGACTGACGGCCGACAAGGCCAAGGACGATGCACAGGCGCCCAAGCAGCACATCAAAGTCAGCCCTGGGGCAACCGTTAGGCCGGGCCAGCTGAAGCCACCGTGCAAGGTAGGGCGGGCCTCACATCCCGCACATAGGCCAGAAGGCGTTCGAACACAAACAGCAAACACGCCGACCAGTGGCGGTCGGCGTGTTCGCAATTGTAATTCGGGTGACTGCTGTAAGGGCGGCCAGTACCACGCACAAGCTCCCAAACAGTTGCTAAGCGCGTGAAGCTTTTTTTCTTAACCATCTCCCATTTTTTGGTAACCAGAAGAGAATCATCTAGTGCTCGAGCCAGGACGAAATGATCAGGAGAGGCCACGCTGGCTTTAAATGAGCCTCCTCTCCTCGTAAAGAACGAGTTGATATGCAACATCATTGAAGGCTTGAGCAATGGGGAGGGGCCACGTGTTCGTTGTTTGCGCTCCCTTCCCCACGCATTTGCCCCTGGTGACACAAACGCTGAGCTCCGCACTAGAAAACAACAACAAAGCGCATAAAAACTAAATGAGGAGACCGCACAGTGAAACCAATACTGAAAACCTGTGAGGAGAATCAAAAGCAGACACTCAAAAAAATCAGTCTACGACGTGCACTAATGCAATCCCACGACCAAGCTGCCGTCATCCATGTTACTTCATCGTAGCCATTCATTCTGTCATGGGCGGGACACTTCGCGGTCAGTTCCATGCTGGGTCTTTTCATGAATTCCTGTCGGCCCCCTAATCGTTGTGTTTCGTTGTTACAGAACCGCCGAACATGGCATGCGTCAAATACTGAGCCCGCTCATCGCACGGGTTCAAACATATGCAATCGGTTGCTGCAATGTATGCGCTGAGATGTCCATGAGGCCGTAAAATTGCAACTAACACAAACTCAAGGGCCTGATTGTCAGACAGATAGCGCTGGTTGCAACACAGTAGATAAATGTGAAAGACTTCCCCTCTTCTTCTTCTTCTGTGTGCACTGCTGAAGTTGCAACAATTGTTGGGAGATGCGACTCGTCTTCTGACCTATTCGTGATCGAAGTAGACAGAACTCATGCTGATTCACTTCCTCCTCTGCCATCAGAACGAAACCTGCGAGGAAAAGAGTGGCCGCCAAGGTCGTTTCTATGAGCCCTACGGGGACGACTATGACGGAGACCACAGCTATGACGGCGGCTATAATGATAATATTGGTGAATCACGCCATGGACATCCCTACGACCACGGCTACGATGACGGCTACGACCACGGCTACGAAGACGGCTACGGCGGAGACAACGAACCCAACAACGATGGTTACCATGACTATGGGCACTTGGGCGTCCGTGCGTTCGAAGAAGGTGGCGGAAACGAGAGACCCTACGGTGGCAGGCCCTACGGTGGAAGACCCGACGATGGCAGGCCCTACGGTGGAAGACCCGACGATGGCAGGCCCTACGGTGGAAGGCCCGATGATGGAAAGCCCCACGGCGGAAGCCTCTACGACGAAAGGCCCTACGGCGGAAGGCCCGCCGGTGAAAGGCCCTACGGCGGAAGGCCCGACGATGGAAAGCCCTACGGCGGAAGGCCCTACGACGCAAGGCCCTTCGGCGGAAGGCCCGACGGTGAAAGGCCCTACGGTGGAAGACCCGACGATGGAAAGCCCGACGGCGTAAGGCCCTATGGCGGAAGGCCCCAAGGCGGAAGGCCCCAAGGCGGAAGGCCCCAAGGCGGAAGGCCCCAAGGCGGAAGGCCCCAAGGCGGAAGGCCCCAAGGCGGAAGGCCCCAAGGCGGAAGGCCTTACGGTGGAAACCCTGACGACGAACCTTTCTACGGCGAAGGGCCACATGGAGGAAGGCCCAGCGGCGGACGACCTGGCGGTGGAAGACCAGACGGCGAACCTTTCTACGGTGAAAAGCCCCATGGAGGAAGACCCAACGGCGGACGACCTGGCGGTGGAAGACCAGACATTGGAAAGCCTCACGGCAAAAGGCCCCACGTCAATATCTACATCCCGATCGGTGAGTGTGACAGACTCCGTCCCTGCAACAGCGGGCATTGCCTGGCCGCCAAATGCGTTGACTGTGTGCACAACATACACTGTGCATATGGCTACAGCTGTGCTGCCAACGAATGTGTGCAATGCACGCTGGACAAGCACTGCCATGGCAACAAGGTATGCCACGCAAACCAGTGCGTCGGCTGTGTCTCGAGGGGACAGTGTCCTTCTGGCCATTATTGCGTAGGCAACACATGTGCTCCACTTGGAGCCGTCGGCGCCAAATGCTCCCGTAACTATGAATGCGGATACGGCAAGTGCAAGGACGGGTACTGTCAACAGTGCACAAATGACGCGCATTGCGGCAGTAAGGAGTTCTGCGGCAAAGGCGAATGCAAGCCGCTCAGGAGTGCCGGCCTCCAATGCAAGCGTGATGACAGATGCGAATCAAAGCGCTGCCTGAACAACGCCTGCACGGAGTGTTCGAACACGCTTCCGTGCCTAGACAACGAATTCTGCGACCACGGAACGTGCAAGGGCCCCAGCGACGTTGGCGCCAATTGCTGGATCTCCTCCCAATGCAAGTCGTACACCTGCAGCCGCGGCAAATGTGCCCAATGCGCGCACAACAGCGACTGTGCCGTCAACCGGTTCTGTGACAAGGGCGTTTGCCGGGTGAAGCGCCAGGTTGGCGACGATTGCTCGGACAGCGAGCAGTGCAAGTCTAAGCTATGCAATCTTCAGCAAGAGAAATGCGTCCAGTGCCGCAACTCGTGGGACTGTGGGGAGGAGTTCTGCAATGAAATGGGTGTTTGCATGGCGAAGAAAGGCAACGCAACGCAGTGTGACGTAGACTATGAATGCAGCTCTCACAAATGTGTGTCGAACAAGTGCGTAGCATGCAAGGAGAACAAGGACTGCGGCAGCGGCCGGTACTGTGACCCGGAGGGATACTGCGCGCCCCAAAGAACCTTTGGAGAAGCCTGCATCGTTAGCGACGATTGTCGGAATCCGCTCCTCTGTGGCCTGGACAGCCGCTGCGTCGAGTGCCGCACACATCTGGAGTGTGGTCACAACATGCGCTGCGACACAACGGGCAAGTGTCGCCCGAAGATATGTAGTTATGACTCCGATTGCCCAAGCGGACTTCAGTGCTTCGTTGGCATATGTGGTGAATGCGCTACAACTGCAGACTGCTCTGAAGATGAGATGTGCGATGACTATGTTTGCGTGTAAAACGGTTCTGCGCAGTCAGAAGACGGCAAATAATCTGCATAAATATCCATATAATTACGCGAGCTCCAGCTCCAGAAGTGTAATGGTGTGCGCCAGCGCCATGCCGGGAGGGTCTGCCTTGCGATCGAGGTACTTGTGAACCCGTGCTATGAGCTTGCCTCTCCACCGACGGCGGGTATTTCGATGATGACGAGTGCAGCCCAGCAGCCGCGGCTGTTGACCGCTGTCAGGCCAGCAACCAGCGCGTACCAACAGCAACCGACTATGACTGGGTCTTCTCACGCAGGCACAGGAGTGCGATGCGCAGACCCAGGAGTGTCTGTTTGCATCAGTCGCAACGGATGCTGTGTCAATATGAGCAGCTGTGAACTTAACGCGTCAGCCATCGTGGATAAGCGAGTGGTTGTGCGGGCTACTCTGAACGTCGAACAGCTAGCGGTGACTCAGGCTCCCGCAAAACATGATCAAGCCGTGGGCAGGACGAGGCGTTGAAAATCCGCAGGCGACGAACATGCCAGCATGTTAGGGAAAAGTGTGTGATAATTGTAAAAAGGTTTTAAAGACATGTCTACACGAATACACGGGAATATTTTATGTTATTTGTGTAGCCGTCCAGTATGAGCATCTGACCCATCGGCAGTGGATCCACAGATAAGTTGGAGGGATGAAGGGTGTCTTAGACACCATACTAAAACCCGGCCATCAATGTTTTGCATAGGTCAAGCACGTACCGTCATTGAACATCTATTTACCATTCACTCGCTATTTTTGTGCTGCATTTTCAGACCTGTGAGGAAAGAGGGGCGCAGGTTAACACGACATCTTTCCAATCCGCTGTTCTTCCTTTAGCGCAGCAACTCACCTAAAATTGAGAAGTTCCACGGAGATTATTCAACATTCAGTTGGCGTATCATTCCACAAGTAAAAAGAAAACTGTTGTGTCGGTGGTTGAAGCGCGCCACTTAGTATAGCGCCATTTCCATGCAGGCTGCTGGTCCACGCCTCGGGTATCTTCCACTGCATATGGCTATTGGGCTTCACTGCACCATGCTTGACAGAACACACATCTGAAGTGCTTTAGGGTGTGTGTCGATGCCTGGCTGGCATCACATTGCGTCTTCGAACCGTTACATGTCCCTCATTTAGAGGGCAGCGATTATTTGTTGCAAACAAGCACATTGAGGCAAGAATGCCGGTTATTTGGCTACCCGCAGCTGCCGACGCCGCTCGGTTTCACGGAAACCGC